CTGGCGGGTATCCGCTGGCGCTGGCGGGTATCCGCTAGAAGATAGCGGGTATCCGCAATGGATACCCCGCGACCATCTCTAGACTTTGTGAGAAAATCACATGACCCGAACCCGACCTGGAACCTTAGCAGGTCGGGTTCGGGCAGGTGTTTTGATAGTCGGGCAGGTCAGTTTTTGTCAGAGTTGCTCTACAAAGGCTAAAACAATCGGGTCGGCCCAAACCCGGCATGCAAACTGCCAACCCAAACCCAAAAAGTCCCAAGACGGGTTTGGGTCTGGGCAGCATATATTCAAGTTTGACCCGACCCAACCCAACCCAACATAGGTGTTGGGTCGGGTTTGGGCACTGTTTTTGGGCCCGAACCCGACCCGTTTACATCCTGAGGTACGCGCCCTTAAGCACACCGTTAGCGGGTTTTCACTACACTACAAGCCACTACAGGGACAAAAACCCGCTAATCAACATGTTAGAACAGCAAAGCAGGCACTTTTGGGGGGCCTGCACACCCACTGTTAGTGCAGATGTGGCAGAATTACACTGCACTAAGTCTACACTCATTTTCAGTGAAATTTTGCTAGGCTAAGCTGTGCCAATGCTACAGTTAGTGTAACTGGCCCATTGGTAAAATCAGTTATATTTCAAAGCCTTTTACTTTTCATTTTTCATTACTTGGACTCTTGTGTTTCTAAATGTACAAATGATGGAGAAGTGGTTTCTCATTGAATGCAGTCTGCATACTGAGATGGTGAGAGTGCTAGTTTACAACTTTCTGAACCCATTTGAAACATGAAATCATGCTTACTAGTTTCATCAAAAATAAAAAATTGTAAAAATAAATCAACATTCACAAATGGAAGTCTTGATTCAGCATCCAATAAGTGAATTTTTGTGCCAAGCTGTTTTGTATTGTCCATCAAGAATAAAAGTACACAAAGCTTCATATCCATTGGCAAGTCAATTTTGGAGAGTGGATTTAGTGTTTCATCACTTATAAAATGGGAACTGAATATAGATAATGTGGTGGTGTGGAACTATGTTACTACTCTTTGGGATGAATGGTGCTTGAGGGGGAACGGTTGCTTGAATAGGCTGCCTCTCTGGGAGCTAGGATAAGTAAGTTAAAAAGAAATGTGCAAGAGTTGGACTCTTGAGAAATAGTTGTAGCAAAATAACAATGCCTCAAACATTTCAAAACTTATTTTAGATCATTTGAGGATTTTTTTATTTTGGCTAAAATGGCTCATTTTAGCCTAATTTTTATTCCTAAGGCATTTTGTACAAGAAGGTGCAAAAAAGGAATGTTTCCCACCATTGAAAATAATATTTATCCTTGGGGTAAATTAGGTAATGTTTGTAGTGTCCAGGGGCCTGGCCCACCTCCATTAAGATGCTAAGGTCAATGTACCCCAGCAAGAAGGTCCATTTTTTTTTGGTGTGCACAAAAAAATCCTTAGACATAATTTAAAAAGAAGTTTGTGCCCTGTTCCCCAAGACTGTTTATGTGCCTTTCTCACGTTCATGTTGGTCTTGGATCAGAGGGTTTTGAATTTGGCATGCAGGCTGCCAATTCAAAACCAACCCAGACCCTTGACCTATCCTGGTAAAAGGAGGATAATTGTGCAGCAGCAGTTGGGACATGTTTTCTATAAACAAAAGCAAAACACAAATAATCAAAGCCGCAGCAAGGACTCCTTGATCAGATATGTAAATCATGATAAAAGTATGTAGAAGGCAAAAAAGGTGAGATGGGTTTTGAGAAATGTACAGTTATTACAATTCAATGTAACTTGATTCAAAACTGAATCAGGTTCAGTCTAAGTCAGCAGGCCATCCTCCTCTGTGAGTTAACTGTAATCTGCCACCTCAGAGCTGCATAAGAACCCTGAACCACATTAACACATTACAACACTTACCCTTGGATTGATTCATACCCAGGCAATCTGCCTATATCAAAAATGTTTAAAATCAAAAACTGTTATCTCTTCGCCTCTTTCAGTGCATTTCTTGAGTGTAACACAATGCAGAACACTCATAAACCAATGAACTGCTTCTCCAGTCAGAAAATTCAGGTCCAAAATTTCAATGCCCAAAATTCATATCCCCTATTTCTGACCTCACCAAATGAAGCAAAGGCAACAAAAAGTGCAGAAATTCCAGGAAATACAACTCACAGCCCATTGAATTGGAGGGAAAATGATGAAACCACTTTGGAACTGCATGAACTTCAAAATGAGAAGGAGAAAAATGAATTTTTAGCTCAAAAAAGTACCATTCCTGGAGGATGTGAATTGAAATACCAAAAACCAAAACAAAAATCTGAAAATCTAGTTTTGAGATCTTCATCAATCTCTAGATCCATGGAAGATCAACAACGAGTTAAAAATCCCCATCAGGAATATCAGAGAACATGCTGTAGTCCAATCAAAGAATGTAACTCAAATCATGCACCTAGAATCCTCTCAATCCAAAAACCAACAGCAATAAAATATCCCAAAGATCCCACAGCTCAGCCTAAGTTAAAAAATGTTAAAAATAAAAAAGATCTTCTGGGTGACTTTCTGACCTCATCCTACATAGAAACTGCAGCCAGCGAGGGATTCAAAAAGAAAACCAGGATTTCATCTTGCAAAATTAAAGGTGAAAGTCAGAGAACTTCATCATCCAGTTCCATCAAGATAGCTCCCAAGCTAGCTCCAGTTCCTATAATTAGCAAAAGATTGGATAAAAAGCCCATATTCCCAAGGAACAAGCAGCCTAAATTAAACACTGGTGTGCCATATTTCAATTCAGAAAAATTGATTCAGCTCAAGAATAACAAGATTGGATTGAATGGGGAGGAGACATCCATGGAAATTTTAATTAATCCTAACAGTTCAAGTGAGGAAAATAGAAATTCTTTTGGGAGATCAACCCATTTTAAAACATCAGGTACCCAGACAGAATTTAATGAATTACATGATGACCCTATAGTTCACACAATCAATAAAGATATTCCAACAGAATTCTTGGTAGATACTGAAACTAAATCTCAACCACCTATTCCAGAAAGAACAGTGGAAAATTTAGGTCAGTCTGATACATCATCTCACACAAGAAATGCAGCAATCCAAGGATTGCAAAAGAACAATGAACCAACAAATTTGTCTTTTGAAGCAACTTTGGGCTCAAATTCTAATAAAGAACTTTCAAGCCCTACATGGAGGTCGAAAACTAGGAAGGCTTTGGATAATCAGACACTGGCCCCACAAGTACAGAAGTATAAAAAACACAAGCCTGCATCAGTATTGTGTCAGAAAAATGAAATTCAAAAGATAAATAAAAGTGATGGAACTTTCAAATCAAATTCAGAACTTGCTTTTGTGGAAAGCTTAATCACTCAAGAAAAACATGGAGAAAGAGGTGCTTCCTTGGTTAGATCAAGTCCCGCTCAAAAGGAAATGAGATCAAATTCAACACCTGAAGTCAAATCAAATCCTCTCAAACTTTTGAATCTGAAAAACAATGCTTTTATGACTGTGAAAATTCCAAAAGCTACCAAGCAAGCTGATAATGACTCTACTATTTCCAAATCAAGAAAAAATGAAGTGGATGAGTCTTTTTTTACAAAAATAGAGAATCAAAATAAGCACAAAAGCATGATTGATATGACATCAAGTGATTGTGAAAAATCATCATGTAATCTGCATGAGGAGCCAAATTGTCAAAAATTTAGCTTACTGGGTGGATCAATGAATTTTGAAAAAGGCATGAGTTCCCATTCTATTCAAAAACAAGAAAAGGAATCAAATTTGATGACAAACGAGAATTCCAATTCTTCTGAGGTTTCAAGATCTAAACCTTTTTGGAACCATCACAATACACTAAATATGGGAAAACAAGTGAAGCCTTCAATTAAAGTCGGACTACAAAATGAACCCCAAAATAAAAAAATGAATATCAGCATCAGGAAATTTAAAACAAATAGTGGTTCAGCGGAAGTGCCAATTCGATTGGAAGAAAGAACAGGCTCTGTGTGTTATTCAACCAGGAAACAACATTCCAAGCAGGTGGAGCATTCAAAATGTAGTTTCCCAAACCCTGGACTAAATTTTACCAAGTATAGGAAAATGCCTGACAAGAATGTTAAAGTTCCAATGTTCAATGATCCTAATCAGTCAAACAATTTTCTACTTTCACTTGATGCAAAAACAAAATGTAGAGACAGAAAATCAAAGATTAGCTGCTTGCATTTTGATAAATATAGCCTTGTTGGTAAAGACCCGTATGATTGTGTTCAAAGAAAACTCAATTCAATATTTAATTTAATGGAAACTGCACCAACAGGAAGCATCATGCTGAATTCTGAGAATGTGTCTTTATGGTTTGGTGAAATTAGACAGGCTTTCAAAGTGAGGGATAAGGATGATATTACTAGGACTGGAATTTATGTTAGGAATGATGTTTATGCAGAATTGAAAAGGGAGGATTTGAATGAGTTTTTAGAAAAAAAGAATTTATGGTATAAATTTTGGGAAGCAAATTCCAACATTGAATTTTTGGTGGAAATGGAAGAGCAACAATTCCCATCTGGGAAGTTCAAGGAGATATTTCCGTTATACCTATTTTATGTTCAAATGATTGATAAAATATTTGTTCCTCTTGGATCTATTCATACAAAGAGGGAAAACCTTCAAGTACTTTTCACAGATGCAATAACAATTTTCAGAGAAACTAGTTATATTTTATCTGAAAAGCTTGAAAGTCATATTGCTAAATTCAACATAGCCATTTTAATGCCTAGTTACTTATGGAAATTCCTTTATTACTGGATCCAGAGGTCAGGAAATGAGGAACTAAAACAAGTATCTCTCAGAAATCTGACAACTACGGGAGTGAATAGTGGATTCAAAATATTTTTCAACACAGTTTTCAGATGTTCAATTACACAATTGAATAATCAGCTCAAGGCTAGTGCAACATTCAACATGAAAAGATTGTGTTTCAAGAAAAACATGCTTTTTATTGAGCACCCAAATCCAACAGTCCAAGAAATTCTCAATGAAAAATTTCAAGAGATGAAATCTGCTCAGCCATCAGAAAGCATTTTTTTAAACCATGAAACTTCTGCCCAGTTTTTGTTCAATTTCAACCGAGTTTTCTTTATCAAGAAAGATTATGATGGAAGAAAGAAAAATCACAATGCTAACCAAGAATTACTGTTGAAAAGTTTTGATGAATTCTTGAAGAACACAGATCTATGGTTGATATTATGGGAAAGAAATTCCAATATGAACTTTGATGAAGAACTTAAAGACAAACCAAATTGGTCTGGAAATACCAATAAGATTTTGGTATTGTTTCTTTTCTATGTTCAAATGATTCATATGATAATTGTTCCACATGAATACCATAAATCAGAAAATACTACAATTCTGGTGTTGTTTAGAAATGCCATGGAAAGTTTCAAAGAATCTACAAATCATTTTTCAAAACAAAATGAATCAAGCTGGCTAAAGATGTATCCTGCATTAATTTGGAAATCATTGGAGCATTGGATTCTGAGATCAGCAAGAAATGAAATCAGAAAGATTGCTATTGGGGAAAGAAAAAATGTACACCCAAACTTCAAAGTATTCTTCAATGCAGTTTTTAGAGCATCACATAAAAATTTGAATATACAATTAATGAATGGTTTGAAATATAATTAGAGTATATGATACTAAAACACAACATTTCAGGGCTTTACCAGTTATTCAAGTTGTAGATTTATAGTATACAGGAAAATCAAATGAAAATGATGAATTTGGCTCCAAATCCATAATTTTTTCCATAAATTTTTCATTGCTCTCATTATTTTAATCTTTAGTATCCCTGGTTTCCTTCACTTGTCAGTCTCCAATTATGAATCACATTAATCTGCATACATATAAACTTATTGGGCATTGATAAACGCAGGCCCTCCCCCATCGCCCCCATCCACTCCCCCGCCACTCCACAAGGGTGTGGAATCAGACCTGCCCGTTTCTTTGGGCGAGGTTTGCTGCACACCCATGCTATTAAACATTAGAGAGTTTTGCTCAGCAGTTATCCAACCAATTTTGTCTCATCAAATCCGAAGTCTTCCAGCTTGTTGGCCAAAAGGATCCGGAGCCTGAAGCAGCAGAAAGATATGATGTAGTGAAATACCAGTAAAGCGTGACAAATCCGTGAATCTGAGCTCTGGTTTCTGGTCATGATACCGAAAACGATTGATTGGCTGGATATCAATGTCCAGTGGCAGTCTATAGTGATCCGTAAAAATACGATCCGAATCCGAAGGGGATTGCGGCATTTCTATTTTATGAGAGCGGAGCAGTCGATGAAAGGGCCCGGCTTCGCGGCCCACCCAGGTCCAAACTTGCCCTGCATGTACGCGCGGCCCGACCGGGCCGCAAATCAAGGATCTTCAGATTCGTTCGACTCAATCCTGCCAAGCCCAGAGCAGGGCAACAGAACCTTCCTTTTGCTCCTCTCGGCACATGGCACCTTCGAGAAACCTCAAAGGCGAACCAACCGATGACCTCGAGCTCAACGGAAGAAAAGTCGTTTGGAAGCCAGTCCTCTCCACACCCTTCATCATCCAGTGGTGAGTTTCATATATGCACGTAGCACTCGATCTGCACAATTTACATAATTTGTATGCCATAGCTGATTTGGCTGATTCTGTTTACGACACATGCAAAAAAAAACAACGGAAGGCCGGAAATTTCAGATCAAGTTGGTCATCAATTTCTAGAAGAGCTCGTAAAATTCTTGGATGGTCGTGATGACTCAGATAACTTGGGGTGCACTCAATCCCACGACCCATCCGTAACACTGTGCAATAATCAGTCGAAAGATCCGAATGGAAAAACCGAAGAGCAATGCTCCCTCCAAGCCACACGTTGGACTCCGCGATCGGCCCATGTGGTCCAACTACGTTCTGGAAAAAATGTCGAAATTCCAGACTACGTCCCTCCAAAACGCTCAAAATTCCATGATCTCGAAGGTGATTCACCAGATACGGCATCCCTCATCAATAAACCACTCGGCCGAGTTGTGTCAGGAATTAATTCAACTACCAAAGAGCTGGAAAAGGAGATACAGCAAAAACGAGAAGCCATCCCTCACACATACTTTGAAAATTCATCAATCATGGAACAACATCCCTCAAGTGTTTCAACATCCCGACTACTTGAGAATTCGTCTTGCCCCCAATTATCGCATGTATTTGTCTGCAGAAAAGACATAAACCCAGTCAGTCTCGTCGATCATCTCCTCCCAACAGTAGCCAATCTCAACCAATCCCGGTTACAATCCGAATCTTCCTCAGCAGAAGATTTTGTTCCGCCGCCGTTAGTTTTCCTTATCTCACTTCCGAAAGGGGCCGAAAAAGTAATAGCAGGGGCTTTAGGGCTCAAGAGAGCAGCGGTAGTGGCATTACAAGTCAGTTCCAAAAATGTGTTCTTGACATCTGGAATTCATGCAAAAAAATAACACTTTTGATTTTGTTAGGGAGAAGATGCGCGGATGTGTGCACTTTCTCAATTAGCAAGGCAACATGTCAAGCCAGTCTTACCGCCAAGCCATACACGCTCTCCGATTGGCTCAGATGCTACTTCATACAACACGATTCCGAACGAAAGCGTGGTTCTATTTCCAACACATATCAAACACTATAAAACTACCATTCCAACAGATTTGCGGAAACATCATCTGGAAAGGTCACAGAGCAAAAAACAGCGCAAGTATGCCAAGAAGGAAAAGAATGATCAGGACGTCGGTTCTTTGATGAAAACATGATACACTGCTCAACTTATTTCGAATGAACTGAATATATTAGCTCATAGTGAAATAAACTAGTCATGCCACCTACACATCTTAAGAGTGATAAGAGTGAGATAACTTTCTGACGGACTGCAAATGGTTCTTGAGAATGGCACTGCTGTGACCAGTTGTTTTGTTATTCTAACCCGCACTTCCCCTCCCTCCTCACCCAAAAATCTCAGGCACAAAAAGTTATGTTGTCCTTTGGTAATCGTCAATCATGTGGCGTTGCAAAAAGTGCTGCTAGGTCGAGTGCCACCAAGAGTTTGGGATGGGCCCAGCTGGGCATGATTGGGCCGGACGAGCCTTTCTTGTGATTCTTCCACTGGATCAAGTTCGACAGACTTCTACCCCATGCTCTTGGACATTAGGTAGTTTTGCTCAACAGCAAATAGATTAATTTGCCATCCCCAAATCCGAAGTCTTGCAGCTTGCTGGCCAAAAAGGTCGGGAGCCTGAAGCAGAAGAAGATCTGATGAAGTAAAATACTGACAAAGCGTGACAAATCCGTGAAGCTGAGCTCTGGGGTTGTGGTCATGATACCAAAAATGGTTGATTGGCTGGATATTATTGTCCAGTGGCAGTCTACAGTGATCTGTAAAAAACGAGCCGAATCCCAAGTGGATCGCGGCGTTCCTATTCTACGACTCAGCATGCACCAATGAAGATTAAGATTGACTATGCGTAACACCCAGGCGGCTCTGAAGATGGTGTCACAATTGGAGCCCACACCAACTAATCTCAAAGGTAAAAGCGGGATAAACCTTGATGATATTGACATCCGGCGTCTCTGCGCTTGAGCTCGACCTCATCCACCCGATGGGGTGGCTATGAAGAATGAGCAGTCACAGAAAACACGCAAAGGGTATAGTGTGGGCTTTGGACGGTGGCACACTGACCCAAGTTGAAGCAGGTCGATTAATTAGAAAATGCCCTAAAAGTGTGTTCAAGGATCGGAAAACCAAGCACCCAAAAGTCACCATTTGCATCCATGATGCCAATGCCATCTACTCAGGTTTTTATATGAATCCCTTTCCCGATTCCAACACCTTCCAGCCCTAGTTCCGCCCACCGGATTCTATATCGATTTCGCTTCTCATCTCTCGTTGTAAGACGAACAAGTTCCACTCAATTCTCGACTGAACCTTCAATCAGCGGCTTGCAGAAGACTCCAACATGAACACTCTTTGGACGGCTTTCCTCTTGGTTGCCTGCGTCAATTTTTTAGCCACTGCGAAGTCATCCCATCGCAAACGGGACGTTTGTGAGGTGCAAGGGAATGATGCGGCATATGATGCGTGTGGCATGAAGAAGGCCTTCGGTGGAAGTACAGTCTATCCTGAAGTTCGTCCCGATTTTGTTCATGAAGATTATGGAAACAAAAGCTATAAGAATGACTGACTAGATGATCGATCTATTCACCCATGAGTAGCTTTTTACTACGTTTTCGCCTAAGGGAGCGCTCTACGTTCGATACGACAACGTCGTTGTGGGTGGGGCACAACAACTTGCGCCCCATCGAGTATCCGCAAAGCCTTCGCTCTCGATGCATTTCTTCCAAGGCCCACAGACCGCTGCCGGCGCCCAATTGCTTTCGAAGAAGTTTGCCGTCCTTGGACTAGATTTCCAGCCCGAAGGGAAACTTACCAAGGTCATATGGCTTCAGTCTGCGATGGACATTGACCGTAACACTGGCTCTTTAACCTCAACTGTTCCTGTGGGTTCGATTTAATTGACTACTTCTTTTAAGAACACAAAACAACGCATCGGCCTTCATGTTGAAATTTGTTTCTCTTTTGGTATATCAGCCTATTATCCCTTACAAGTCTCCTAACCCCCCGCAAGGTACAGGGACTCATGAGTATGTGATCCTGGTTTTCGAAGAAATTGGTGCCGGGTTGTCAGGATTTCTCAAAAAGAATCCTCAAGTAAGAGCAATCCTTTCTGGCTCATTCAATCTAGAAGACTTGTTGGTCCAGAGCAAGTTGCGAAACTCTTTAGTGGCTGCAAGTTGTAAGTTATCCATACTTCAGAATCCAGTAATAATTATGGCTGACAGCTGAATTCTGATTCCTATGTATCAACAGTTTTCAAGTCCACTCATGCATAGAAACAACTCGACGATTATTGAAGATGGCTCACGTGCTCTTCACTGCAGTCTCTCTTGTGGTCATATTGAGACCTGATTAGACAATTAGCAACGCACGATGCCTCTCATGTAAAAACACGAGCGAAAATAAAAAAACTGCAGAGTATCAGATGTAGCTCAATGTATCAGGTTTCATATGCCTTTATTTATTTCTGACTATAGACTATCAAGCGTAAATGTATTCTTTTCCAACTGTGTTGTTTTTTACACGCCGTTGTTTTTGAGGTAATATCCGAGACAAGTGAGCAGCAATCATTTGGAGAATTTTCCGGGTGAAAACCATGTCGCAAAAGCGATCATCAGACAAGTTAGCAAAAGTTAGTCAGGATACACAAAATGTGGGATTAGTGTAGGGATAATCGAACCTCGGCTTCCAACTGTTTCTTGAGCGCGTTGACACATTCCTGGGTGACCATAAGATGAGTGTCATCCAATTCTTGGATAATGAAGGGTGTGACCAATCCGAATTCAGAGATTTGATGGTCTGGTTGATCGTTCAACTTCAGAATCAGTTGTTTGGCTGCTGGATCACTTTGATGATGCGATTGATAAACGATCGATGAGTCTTAAAATCGTCAAGTTCGGATCGAATCTCGCATCTGGTTCTGCTTTGAGGTGATTCTCAGACTGTACTCGGAGATGAGGGAGAAGACCTACCAAGTCACCAAGACTCCTTTATGGGCTTTAACCATCTTGATTAGGTTCTGCCTCACCACACGGAGCTCGTGTATGCCAGACTTTGATACCCTGGATTTGTTGTGGTCGTATGTAGAGGTTGGCAATGATTCAAATTTTCAAGGAGATTTGATGGGAGGCAAGGGGTGACTGTGTGCACATGGGTGGTATGTAGTGGTGCACATTCATGGGGCTGCTGTGTGACAGTCGGGGGGCAGTCGGGGGATGTTGAGTTTTCCTCGATCGCCCCTCTTTTGATTATTTTTTGCTCACCCAGCCAATTACCCTCCATCCCCCCCTCTTTACCATCCTTGTCGTGTCCAACCAAAATCGACCTCTCATCATCAACCAACCCATCCAGAACGATCTCAAGAAACGCTTGTATCCAATTCACGATGGATGATGACGAGGCTTTCCTCTACGGTGATGATGTTCCCGAGACGACGGTCGAAGCTGGAAAACCGGCTGGTGGTCAATCGGTCCAACCAGCCGTAGAACCTACACGTGAGCTCAAACTCACTCCACCAATCGAGTTACTCAACGAGCCTAATTAGAATCAAAAAATCTTAGCTCCCCTAAACCTACCTGGAAAACCTATCTCGCCGGTCCCTGCCACGTGAGTCGATCAACAACGTCTTATTCGCTGGACTTCTTGAGGACTAATGACCTCAATTTACGCCACCCTCCCCTTTAAACCAGTATCCCAACTACAACTGAACAAGTACATCGTGCTTTCGAGCTCGCCTCCAATGCTCTTATACCTTCCGAACCACTCCCCATCCCACTCCCATCTCACCCCGTAGAACCTGCCACTGCTCCGTTCACTCAGGCTCCCCCAATACAGGCCGCAGTCGATGAGCATAGCCGAAACCAGAGCATTAATGTCGATGGCACCGGTATGGTAGAAGAAGCGGATGAAGAAGAGGAAGACGATGAAGTGGGGGACGAGCAAGCTCTACCGGAGGATTCTGATGAGGTTCGATCAATCAAGTCACGTCATTCTGCTCAGCTCACTCGCTTAATCCATGCTTTCTTTTTGCGGGAAAAATTAACCAATGACAGGATCTGGATATCATTTTAGAAGGCGACACCTCAGTTGCTCCTACAGCACCCCCATCACGTCCCTCAACACAACCCTTGCGTTTTGAAGCTCCGCGAGACTCAGTTCCTTTGGGTCAACGTAATTCAGAATTCTTCCTTAACTCTAAAATGTACCAGACGCGAGTACTGACACATCAATTCAAATTCCCCTTGTCTGTCCTAGCCATCCAGCAACTCAATGTTACCACGGAATACAAACCGCTTGAACGAGTCGACTTGAAGCTTGTTGATCCAGCTTCTCTCCTACCTCTCAAACCTAGTCCTATGCCCGTCGCCCAGCCCAATCCATCTCCTCGGCACACCCCCCACCATAATAGCCACAACAGATTGCCCACCCCTGAGAATTTTCCGGCCCCAGGTACTCCTCCTCCTCAACCACCCGCAGAACTGAAGCCGCCCGATTTACAAGCCGATAATCCAGTGATTCCATCGGGTTACGATGACAAAGATGGGTCTGCATTGATGAACTTCGATTTCGATGCCCTCCCCGAAAGTGAGAAAGGTTGGAAAAAACCTGGTGCGCATCTTGCAGATTGGTTCAATTACGGCTTCGACGAGACCACATGGAGAACATATGTCATGAAACAGAAGAGGTTGCGCAAGGAGGAAGGCTGGGCTGCGAACCCGTTTGCGGTGTGTATTTTCTACTTGCTCATAGTTCGGTCTAGTTGCCCGCTAATTCATGACCGTCTCACAACAGGCTTTCGCCATGGGTAATGTAGAACAAGCCTGGGCAGGACTTCCTCCAGAACTGAAAGATGTCATGATGGGGATAATTATGGGAAATTCATCGGGGTCGAGAAACAATAATCATGCTCCACAAATGGCACCATCGATACCTCCGATGATGGTGATGAATCCTATGATGCAGGGGATGGAGATGGGAGGATACGGTATGCAGGGAATGTCTGGTATGATGGGTGGGGCTAACCCACAGATGAACGGAGGACATAATCCAGGCCTGAATAATCAACACACTGAGGGCGCTAGTAGAGGTCAGCTCTCGATTTCTTTTAATTTTCCAAATGTTGCCTCTAAGCCTTGTACACATTCTGTCATGAACAACATTGGAATGTCATTTGATTGCTGTGCAGCTATTAGCATCAAGGCGGCTTTTCTGGCGGCGGTGACTCTTTCAATCTCACTTGTGACCTTGTTTCTGAGTTCTATGATTTTTCTACTTTAGTCATTAAGCAAGACCCAGGCGGTGCTTCTGAGCAGCCAGAAGATTTGTCTGCCCTCTACGGTGATGATATGGACCCGCGAGAGCAACGTCATCATGAGCAACAAAGAATGCAGGACCAAATGCGACACATGCAGCATATGAACCACATGGGTATGGGCGCTGGCTTCATGCCTGGAATGGACCTCGCTGCAATGTTTGGGAATGTTAGTGACCACTTTGCTGTTCTCTCACACTTTCTGTTGTTTTTCATCTGTATCGTTGATGTAGGCTTGGCCGAGGTCCTTAAAAACTGATCCTAAGATTATACATTTTTTGCCTCTTTCACATCTAAGCCAGATCATCCGATGTTCATGAATGGGCCTTCGTTTAACGGGATGATGGAAATGCCACAAATGCCACATATGCAGCATATCCCAGCGCAAATGCAGCAGCAGCAGCAGCAACAACAACAACAACAGCAGCAGCAGCAACAGCAACAGCAAAAACAACAACAGCCGATTGGACTTGGGCCCTCAATTAACATGACGAAGCCACCCAGCCTAAACTCAACACCCATCAGCACACCGGTCAATCCAGCTCAGACGATTCAAACGGGCATCAGGTCCGATTCGCCCGGCATTCTTACCCCGATTTCGTCGTCTGCGACCGGCCCAGCGACCCATACAGCAACACCTGGCGACTCGCCAAGTTTGGCAGCAATGCCTAGTCCTGCAAGCGCAAGAGGACGAGGCGCAAGGCCTGGGGGGAGGGGAAGAGGAAACGCTCAAGCCAGTGCATTTCTGGCTGCCGCTGCCGCTCGCGGTCGGGGTAGGGTGATATCCGCCTCAAACTCTGTCACACCCCTAGCTCCTGTCCCCGCTATTCCTCTGCTGAGTCCTAAGATCGATCCGCCTGTCCAAGCAACGCCGGCTGCTGTACCTGTGGCAACCACCCCGGTATCTTCAGTACCGCCCACTAGCGAAAGTTGTAAGTCACCATATTTTTTTTCTTTGGTCCTGTTTCTAAGTTTCAACATTTATCATTAAACTGATCTTGCTACCTGTATTTATTTTATGTCAGTGACTGAGCATGCATCCGTCCGACCAGTATCACCATTGCCATCGAACGTTCCTACAGGACCGCGACGAGCAGCGCCAGGCAGTGGCGCACCACTCCCACGGGGACCCCGAGGTGTGCCGGGTGGATACTTTGACAAGGATGCAGCGGGTGGTCGGGGAGATGAAGGACTGGACTACGGCGGCGGAGGAGGAGATAGTCCACGGGAGGATCGCAAATCGATCAGTCGGCGACACAGTCACAAGAGTGAACGAGAGAAATCGGAGAAGGATTCTCAACGGTTCGAGAGAGGCGAAGATCCTGCGGACAGGTCTCGGTCGAAATCGCGGGACAAAGAGCTCGCCGACGAGAAAGAATTCCCCCATAAATCTTCCAAGTCTCGCCATCGACATCGGGCCCGGTCCAAATCTAAGGACCCCGCCGAACATCGCAGTAGTCGTGAGAAGGGCGACAAGGATAAAGACGAGGGCGGTCATAAATCCAGCAAATCTACTAATGGGGGGAGAAGGAGTCGTCGGAGTCGTCGGGCAACTGAGGGTGATGAGAGAGATGATGAGCGTTCGCCCCATGAGGTTGGTGAAGAACGTGACAAGGAGAAAGAGCGGGATCGTGATCGCGATCGCAATCGCGAAAAGGATCACTATAAGGATAAGGACGAGGATGATCATGCTGATGGTGACTATTCAGCGCCAAAGTGAGTCCAACGACCCTCGTACTATGCAACACTTCCGTGACTGTTATCTCTTCCCCTTGATACTTATTTTTTGAATCCGATTCTCTAGCTCTGGCTCTCGTAAACGAAAACCGAAAGAAGAGCGGAGCAGTCGATCAAAGAGGGAACGAGCTGATTGATAAATCATTCGCTCACTGTTCATCCGTCTCATCATTCTTTTTTTTTCCCCTCTTGATACACACTATTGTCTTTAGTCATTGAAGCACACCTCCCTATTCATATTAGTTATTACAATAATTGGAGGAGAAAAAAATACAGCAGACTTGATGAAGCTTGCTGGTTTGATTTTTTTGCTTGTCTTTTCTGGTTTCTCTCTTCATTCATTCTTTCCTTCCTCTCTTTCTCAAACATTACAAAATCTTCCCCCTCCCCCCAAAATCAATTGATACGATGCTTTGGGGAAAAAATGACTGTTTAACTTCTAAGAAAGGAGGTGGAAAGAGAGACAATAAAAAAAGGTATGGAGGGATGTGCCTTGTCTTATCACTTTTTTATCTTGGGCATTGTGTGTAGGAGCAATGCGCTAGTACTAGCTGTGTCTGCACTAGCTTGAAGAGAGGAGGTGTAAGCCATCCGTGTTTCAAACATGTGTTATTCTGCCAGATACAATCTGGTGATCAATTAACCAGACGCGTTCTACTATTGCTCTTTCACATATTCCGAATAATATGTCGTGATCTTCCTGACTCTTGCCATTGGAATGGCCTTTTGGACCTTGATGGTAATGATTCCTTTTCACGACTCCTCTTAGAAAAACACGATTTTTTTTTTTTTTGAACTGTTTGGACTCTGGAGTCCAAACTAGTCGGTCCCACTTTCTGGGAGGCAGGGCAAGGTAGCTCCAAACCTTTCCATAGAGAGGCTTGGTTAAGCTCGGCTTGGAGTCTAGAGTAGAACCCAAGATAAACACCAAAATTGGTGAAGTGCTGCCTAGTGAAACTCACCTCAAATCGAATCATTGCAAGGGCTTTCTTTCAGTTGAAACTTGAAGCTTGACCCGAGCGCGTGACACAAACTCATCATTCTCCTCAACCTGTTCCAGCCTCCAGGTGGATGGTCCCTTTTTCTTGACCAAGACAATGAATGAGAAATCCGGCAATCAACATACACAGATGTCTATGCATCACCAGCTGCAAACTTAGAAGAATCCCCGTCCTTGCGAGGCGCTTCTTTTTGGATTGCAATTTCACAACAGTGCTTAAAAGCCAAAGACAGCCACCGCTTTTACGGCGTACGCATGGATCTAGAATCCAAGTCTGAATCCCAAGTGGATCGCAGTCCCTACACATCTTGCGATTTCACCCAGCGTGAGCTAACAGCGAAAGCGGTCCACCCAGGCCCCATGCCACACTTGTGGGGTGTGCGGGCTCGAGCTGACTTGCCAGCGAGTCCAGAAAGTTATAGGCCTAACCATCCTGAGCCACGGAAAAGAAAGGCAATGCGATCCAGCAGTGACGATTCTGACCATTTGGTCTGATAACTCCTTGGCCCGATTCAATCCAATCAGCTCTGCACCCCGGGTACATCTGGGAGTGGGATCGGTTACTCATTCTGGTAGCGTAGTAGGTCGGAAAACCAAGCACTGAGGAGAATCTAATGTGATTTTTTTTTCTTTTGCTGTGGCGAGTTTGCTCTGATATAAAACACCCAGTCAACCCGTTTAGATTTATTTTCATCGCTCTTACTAACTTATTATTATATTTACCCTAATCCAACACACTTGCTTTTCAAGCAACACTTACTTCTTTTTTTTTTCTTTGGCGAACTTCAAGTGACTTAGAACCGACGGCGTCTACATAATCACACTTATACTTACCCACTCGACCCCCCAGATCAACAAAGATGCGTTCCTTTCTAGCAGCATTAGTCATGGCTCTGTTTGTGAGCGTAGCCGTCGCGAAGTCAAACAACGTCAAGCGAGATGTTTGTGATGTGTTGAACAATGATGCCGCAGACGATGCTTGCAGCATGAAGAAAGCTTTTGGCGGAAGCTCAGTTTACCCTCAGGTTGGTACCACTACTAGAGAAAAGTATTTACCAATCGACTCGAAGAGACACGCTGACCTTCGATTCTATGTCGTGTAACAGCTTTTGTCTACATTTTCTCCCCAGGCCGCTCTCTACGTCCATTATTCTCAAGTGATTGTCGGTGGCGCTCAGCAACTTACCCCTAATCGAGTTGCCAACAAGCCGAACCTATCGATAGGCTTCATGCGTGGACCACTCAGCATCCCTGGAGCTCAAATGCTTTTGAACAAATACGTGGTCATGTGTCTCGATTTCCAGCCGCAAACTAGAGTCACTAAGCCAATCTGGATTCAATCTGGGATGACTGTCAACCCCAACACCAGCGCAATGAGCTCGTCAATTGCCGTGAGTTTATTAAAACATCCTTTTTGAGGCTAGTGAAGTGGACACAAGATTAACCCAGTCATCACGTTGCTTTCTACTAGCCGATCATCCCTTACCAAGCTCCTAACCCTCAACGAGGCACTGGAACGCATGAATATGTCTTCTTGGTCTTTCAAGAAACCGATGCTGGATTGTGGGCACTCCTCAAGCAACAACCTAAATTGCGAGCCAGTCTCTCCGGTTCATTCGACTTGAAGTCTTTCCGTTCTCAAACCGGCCTTCACAATTTGGTGGCTGGAAGCTGTAAGTTACACGTTCTCTGTTCGGGAACCTAATTTTCTTGTCGAGGATGGAACATCTTGGCTGACGTTTGCATTCCTAGTTTTCAAATCCACTCACCCCTAGACAATCTAACCATCACATACACTCGCTTCACAACACACCATGTATCTGTTTTTTTCTCTCTTCGCAGTAGCGACCGATTTAATCATTTTTTGCCGTTAAGTCTGTTTTCAGACAATGCACACAGAATTATTTCGCCTTTCATGTGAATCACTAGATTTAATTTGAGTAATGTCTTAGGTGAATTCATAAATGCTGGCAGCTTTAGTTTGTAACCTTTATCCTGACACGACCGCCAAGCTCTTAAGCCTGTCGGCTGTAATCATCTTGTGCCTGCATGGCAGACTGGCTGGGTCACTTCACGACGTGACTGTCCAACTCCTCAATCAGTTTTTGAGTTACGGTGGGCTTGGTATGATGCCGAAAGCCTCCGATAATGGCAATCATTGAACGAAGCCAGTCCTCGAAGAAGGACTTGAGACAACGATTACCGGAATAAACCGACTTAGCTGCTACACATTAGATGAACTTTGAATCCGTTTTGAGCCGAAGAGAAGTCAGCGTAGGCTACACCAAAAACCAGGCAGAAACAACTGCCAAATAAAGTACACCACACCTCACCATTAGCCATCTGCCAACGAAATGAAATTTGGCCGACGTGCCGGAAATAGTCACATCATTGCACATCGTATGGGACTGCGCGTTAGCACTGTGATAATCATAGAGCAATCTGTTGATTCTACCCGTGCTTTCAAAAAAGAGAGAGAATTGTCCCCGGCACACTTCGCTGATCAGGCGAGTGTCGGCATCTTCGTCAAGAATCCCAATCACGGATATGCCAGTGCAGAAATACTGCGACAACAGCACGCGAAAGGACTCCAATTGATAGTAAACACCATCAGAGTCTGATATAGATTCAGATATCGCCTTGACCGCTCATAATCGGCCACGTTGTCGTGCGTGACACGCCTGCTAGTGAGCTACAGGTAGTCACGAAACACCGTTCAAAGCGGGTAGCACGACTCAAATTTCCCACAGGAGGACTTCCTAGAAAATTGGAATCGCAATTGAGACAGTCAAAACCTGACGCTACATACATGGCTTCCTAGGGCCTCAAAATCTAGATTTCCTTTTGAAAGGTGAGACTGTATGGGTCTCAAGTTGACATCTAGTGCAAAGACTCAAAGATGAATTGGGAAGTTCCCCACTGAATGAATTCCCATAGCACAAATTTGTTGATTCGGGAAGAAGGGCAAAGCTAAAGTATAATGATCAAGTTTTGACCATCAAGGCTGTTGGATGTCCAGGCAATAGAAAGTCCTCCAAACTGTCAATTGACTTGTCAGGAAAGCAGTCCAACTAGGTAACTGATGCTGTCTAAGGGCCTGTACCACAGCCCCAATTTTCAGTTCAATTTCCAATTTCCAGGTTGGAAATTGACTCCACCAGAAATGGTGTGCCATGCACACTCAATTTCCCACAGTACAGCATTTTCAGTGCCAACCCCAATTAAATGAATTTTGGTTAGTGAAAAATAAAAAGATCAAAAATGAAAATGAAAATTGGCTGGGGTGCTATGGTACAGGCTCAAGTTGTGAATTCATTTGGTGATGATAATTGCTTACATAAAATTATCTTGAACCTCTTGCAAACTAGTTTCAGATTCAATGAAACATCAGTATAAGAAACTTGTGGCATATATTGAACCACCAGGATAAGTTTTGAATTTTTACAGTTAATTGCCAAAAAGAAAAAGAACCACCATGGCCATTAGAATGAGTAGTTTCATGATTCATACAATTTGAATGGGCCCTCTGTCAAACCAGTTTCAGAGTTACAGATGGCCACTTCAAACCCACCGGGGGTAGTGGTTATTGCTATCCGCTGGAGGGTACCTGCCAACAACTTTGGATAAAAACAATGGATACCCCGGTATTTTTAAGAACACCCTCCCACAGTTGTGTGTCTTTGTGAGCCTACAGCTGTGAAGCAAAGCCTCTCTGACCCAGCTTGCACTCTATCTGTGACATTTTGGCCCCCTTGCCATGTCACATACCATAAACAGTTATGAAGCAATTAGATTCAGAGAAGGGAAAAAAGGTGGCAGAGCCAAAAGAGAGGTTATTTATACTTAATCACACTTGATTTAAGGCTTAAGGCCCTGTTTGGCAGCGTCATAAATTCAAGTGTAATTTTGCCTTATAAATTCAATAGAAAATAAACTACTCAGAAATATGTAATATAATTTTTACTGGGGAAAGGTCAACTACTGATTTCAATGTTAGTATAAACAAAGTTGTGATAATTGGCTACCTTCAGCACTATGATACCAATATTGTGCTTTCTACCCATATAAAGGGTAATATCAATGTTATGGGGATCAAGATGGCCTAAGATATCAAATTTGTTCTCAGCATTGATGAAACCAATAATTGAACTTGCCTGAGTAACAATTTTGTTACACATTTTGCATTGGTTTATCTTTTATTGAATTAATCAGGCAATATTACACCTAAATTTATGACACTGCCCCATGGAGACTAATAGGAGGCTAATGTGTTGACTGAGGACCAGTACAGAATAATTATGACTGATGATTTACATTTCTCTGTATCTACACCAGGAAAAAACAATGCTCACCAGATGGCAGGTGACATTGTTTAGCATTGATTACAACTCCAGTTTAGGTCCAATGGTACTGCACTCCAACTATAATGGCCCCTTTGTGCACTTCAGGGGGATGAACTAGAGTTCATCTGGGTAAATACTGGTTAGCACAATGAACTTAGCCTGATGTCACTTGTCATCAAGTGATCATTGTTTTTCCTGGTGCTAGTGAATCTTAAGTAATCTAGATAAAAAATGCGAAAATTGTGAAAGCAGGTAGTGATGCATAATGAATAAGGAGAAAAACAATCTAGCCCAGCATAAGGAAAAAGGAGTGACATGAGGTTGGAAAAAGAGTGACATGTATGTAAGAAGGAGGAAGAGAGAGAGCTCAAGTGAAATTTCTACAAAATTCCCATGCATGTACAGTGCCTAGACAGTGAAAAGTGGCTGCTTATTTTGGATTCCAGAGCTCCAAAACACAAATTTGAAATCATGAGACTTGGTCAGGTGGTGCATAATAGGTCCCAAAAAATGAATATGAAACAATAAAAGCAAAAAATAAAGTTTCAAAATTTGTGAAAAATAAAAAATAAAATTGATTTTTTTCATAAACTTTGATATTCATTTTGGGGGAGTGGGAGTGCTGAGAGAAAGAAAGATTGGGAAATGAGAAGAATGATATATTTGATACCCCCTACTGTACACACTTAACTGGGAAGAGACCCGTGCATGGGTGCGGATGTGTGATTTTGGCCAAAACAGGGCGCTGGTACCTGGGTTCAAGAATCAAAGTGGACATCTCTATTCAGAGTGGTTAAAACATCATCATGTGAAATATACAACATCATTATTCATGATGTGCAGCATGGATTGTTCCACCAGGATGAACCTTGAAGTTTCATAGTTCACTTGGCACAAAACCCCTTTAAAGAGGGAAAGTATGTATGTATTGTATCCCTCCAAAGCTATTGGAACAAGTCTCATCACCAGTCAGTGAGCTTGAGTAGTTTTATTATTCTTCTTATTTGAATGGACCCTTGGTAAAACCAGTCTCAGAGTTGTTAAAACATCATGATGGGAAATATACAACATCATTATTCACATTAATATGCAACACCAATTGATCCACCAGGATGACCCTTGAAGTTTGACATTTCACTCAGCAATTTAAACATCTTTGAAGAGGGACAGTATGTATGTATTGTATCCCTCCCTGGCTATTGGAACAAGTCTCATCATAAGTCAGTGAGCTGTAACCTCTCCTAGTTCCAGAGTTTTCAAAACAGTATCAATTTATACTCAACACAACACACAAAGCAGTTTTATAGAATAAGTCCAGCTCACACATAGCAATATGAAAAGACATCCTGCCCTGAAGGAAATCAGTTCCATTCCCCACAGTGGCAAAAGATCAATTCTCAATAGCCATTTTTTTTTATCATCTTCATACATCTCAAAAATATTACACCCTACACTACATTGGCTTGTTGGAGCACAAGCTATTGATCAATCTTCCAACTCAAACCTATATTGGTAGTTTGAGAATCCACAGTTCAACAGAATTTATTTTTAATTTGCTTCTTATTTTCTTGCTATCTAAGCTCTATATTTTTTGAAAAAAGACAGTCAATTATGGTTCATCCCACTGTTCCTTTGGCTGTTTGTGGTGCACTTTTAGTACTTATTTTACAAGCACCAGAGAATTGTTCTGGATTAAGATTGACAAAGCGAATGTGGAAAAACAGCATGGAAGGCAATAATAGCAGGTGAGTATTTTTCAATTACAAGTATACAGGTGCAATTTTTTTCTTACGTCAAATGAAAATCAGATATGAAAGTTGGCTTTTGGGGGAAAATGCTGAAATGTGAGCAGATTTCCAATTGATTAAGAAAAATGATAATAACTGAAATCATAATCAATTTCTCTGGGGTGGGAACCAGGGAGCCAGCACAAGAATTCCAAAAAATGTGTGTACAAAGAACCAATCCTAATCAAATAATTTCTTTTTTATTTTTTAATTGACTGGTTTCTTTCATGCTTTACATTTGAAAAGAGAAAGTGGGAAGGATCAGGATGTGGACGCAAAACAAATTCATAATGAAAAATCTGAGAAACACAGTGTATTTGCTCTGTAAGTAGGCTATCTTTTATATCTCTATTGATTTATTATTGATCTAATCAATCTATCTGGATTTTTCACAGAGGGGAAGGTAAAGCTTCTGAAGTGGATTCTGGAAAAAATAGGGGAATCTTCAAGTAAGGAATATTCTTTGTTTATTTAACTTGAATAAAGAGTGATTTGAGTACCATTTCAAACTATTTCCCAGAGGGGGAGATACACTACAAGATTTCCAAGGATAAAATCATGAAGAGAAAGATGTAAGTTTTCTAGATTAACTCATAAAAACAAATTATTGGTCTGATTCCAAGAATTTACCCATTCTTTCATAGGGAAATTAAAGAATTTGTGAAAATGGAAGCTGAAGTATTAAAGCTTGATGACTGGGCCAGTAGAGAGTATCGAGAACATCTCAAGTCTGTTTTTTATGAGAAAATCAAATCTGAGATGTTCAAGATTGATAACTTTACCAGTAAAAATTATGAAGAACATCTCAGGTATGTTTTTTACATCCCACATATCAAGATTTACATGTGCAAAAAAGGTTAAATTCTTCTGCATTTGTAATTTGTGGCACTGATATGAATAACTCAAAGGAAAATGAAACAAAAAGAACATTTTGAAGTAATGAGCATTTCAGACCTTCTTACTGAGACACTTTACTGGATGGACAAAAAACAATCAAGGTAAGGTATTTCACCAATTCATTTGGAGAATAGTGTTTTGTTGAAATTCCTTCTCTTTATTTTTCTATGCAGAAAATTTTCACCTGAATTATTAAACAGCCCATCTAAAGAGAATATATTGGAATCCATGTTGGAACAGTTCCTTGAGAAGTAAGTTGGTGCTTGAATTAAAAATCATCTTCCCAAAGGATTCAAGTGTAACTGAAAACTAAATTAAAAACATCTTCTTTTCAAGGCAAAGCACATATAAATTAGATGAAGTTATACAGAGATTTGATGAAAATATCCCCCCAAAGACCAGGGAATACCTTAGGATAATTGCAGAAAAGAATGGTATTGGAAATGATTTTTCTACTTCTCGAGGATATTATTGGGATAATCAATCTGTCAGAGATTTGTTGAAGATCTATCAAATAACTCCTGTGTATCATTATTGTCCCTGGGGTGAGAATCAAAAATTGACTTGAAATTAAGACTCTGAAAATCTATCAAACTTACTGATGAAACTTTTTTTTCTTTTTAAAAATCAATAAAAACTTTAAAATCCATTAAAGCCCCTGAATTAAATGATGTCATGTAAGTTTCCAGCTTCAAATTCATTGTAGTGATTGAGTTGATCTGATCAAATGAATTCTTTCAGACCAATTGAGAAGCTTTACCAGCTTCTGAAAGATGGATATGGTTTTACTGTCCCTGAGCTGAAGAAGCTACAGGAAAATCTGAAGTGAGTTAATTTTAAAAAGAAAAAAAAAATCAAATGAATAGTAATTTTGTCAAAGTTCACTCAAATTGATAATTTGCAATGTTTCAGGGAAATTGGATGGAAGGGAGAAGAAGCTTTGAAGTGGCCTATGATTAAATATGCCACAGAGTGGAAAAAGTCTTGACCAAAAAATTCTTGATTCACAAGAGTGAACTGTTGTCTTTTCTTGATATTCTGTGATATCTTGATATAATCCAACTTCATTTCACCCCTGGAATTATTTCTTTCTCTTTGTCTGTTGTTGGTGACTCAAATTTGATTTTTACACCTTTGTTGTGAATTTCAACTAAGCCAGTTTTGTTCACTCAAGTTCATTCCATCTATTGACTTCCAGTACTCAAAGAAAAAAGGGAGCCAAAAAGAAAAGGAAACTTTTTTTTAAAAAATTCTCCTCCCAGTGGAATGATTCCAAATATCTTCATACTTTTCTTTCTTTCATTCTTTCATTATTGAATTTTTATTTTATTTTGAACTGTCAAGATTTATCTTCAAAATTTATGAGAATATGCAGCTATCCTGTCTTTTGATTGCATTTTCTTTTCTGTCTAATCTTGTCTATTCAAATGGATGGCATGAACATCCAATAATCAGACATTCAATCTGAAAACAACGCTTTCCTGATCAAAATGGCTAGATAATTCAAGATTTTGGCCTGTTTCATCATTCTTGTCTTGTGAGCTGCTACAAACTCTCAAAGATGAAATATTCTTTGAAGGAGGTTGTTTTATTTCATTATGATCTACCTTGCCTGCCCTCCATCTCTTAAGGCCTGATGTTGGCTACCTAAAATCCTGCAATCAACAAGGCATCATACATCAACCTGTTCTAATTGAAAAGAATGGAAAACCTAATCCAAGAATACCCAAGGATACCCTTGGGACAGTCCCAGGACACCTGATATCTGACCCTGGGACCACAGATTGGAACCCTCAGCTGGCCCACCCTTGGTGAACCCCTTTCACAAAACCAATTGATTCGTACCAATGCCATTCCAACCCATATAACATGAAAAATTGAGTTTCAGAGCTGATCAATTCCAAGTAAGTTGCAGAATCTCTGGAGCAAGTCAACCAAATTCAGGAAAAAAATCTTCTCTGGACCCCTGTTAATTTATGTAGTGAAATACTTGGTATTTGACTTCAGGGACCTTTCTTACTGCCAAGAGCAAATCTTTCCACAAAATTTCAAGATGATTGTACCAGTGGAAGTGAGACACAGCATGTGGTTTCTGGAAAACCTCTTTCATCTCGTACATTAATATGAATCACACAGTCCTACCAAGCTACAAATGTTTCTGAAGGTCAGTGCACAGGTCCAGTGTCTCTTGAGGTGTTTGATCCTTGTAGCTGTTAGTGAAGCAAGGAACATGAACTGTATTCCCATCACACAAGCCCAACAGGGTTATGAAAGTGAAGAGCTTTAATGCAGACCAAAGCTCCGCTACTAGTGTTTGACCATAAGCCTTTTAAGCCTTTTGAATGCCAAATATAAACATTTGAGACCAGAACAGTCATAGTAGAGTTAAAATTATACACCAATCTAGCTGAATGATTTGTCCATTTACTCCTTTTCCAAACATCTTTGTCCAACATGCTTATCCAGCCAGGTAGATCCAAACACTCAAGCAAAAAAAAAAATCCGACAACATACACAGCTTTACAGATGATCATTTTTGGATTCAGTATAAAATCAAAACTCTACATTGACAACTTTGTGTGTCATCTTCAATCAACGACCACAGCCATAATTGATGAGTAGCCCAAAGTTGCTCACACGCCAGAATTAAAGAAAAGTTAATTGACTGGGATTTCAAGTCCTCAAGGAAATTATTTGAAATTAAAGGAGTTGAACAAGATACAAATTATTCATCGAGCTGAATGAACCGCGTTCTTCCAAACATTTCTCTAGGCATACCCTATGAATCAAGGTTTATTATCAAAATGGTTTCGTGAGCGAACGAAGAGGAAACAATGTGGGACTGACCTTTGGGGTTTTTACTTTGCCAATTCCATAAGTCCCGGCACATTTCGTCTAGTTCGCGCTAAATGCAGTTTTGAAGATTGAAATTTAATATTAACAAAGAATGATAACAATACATCGATAGAGAATCAAGAAAGGATTGCGTACAGGTGCGCTAAATCCTAGTTCTTTCATGGCCAACGTGGGATCGGCAGTAAGATCTGGAACATCTCCGGCTCTTCGGCTAATTATTTCATATTTGAAGTCAAACCCAGTCGCTTTTCTCATTGCCTCGATCACTATGGATAAATAAATGTTGAGATCGCACGAGACTCAGATGATTGCATCATCGGGAATGTGAAATGAATGGTTCCGAATATCTATTGTGTTTCCCGACTTGACTCACTTTCAAAAACGGTTTGGCCTCTGCCTTTGCCAAGGTTGTACGCTTTGTACTTCCCACCACTCGTACCAAAGGCAGATTTGAAACCTGCACAGGGGGTGCTCCAGGTCGATTCTTTGGTAAGACCATCCAATGCATTGATGTGCCCAGCCGCTAGGTCCATGACTAGTGGAATCGAGAAAAAGGGAAAGCGTCAGGAATCGTCGAGATGGAACGCAAAGTGGAGGAGGTTGCAGAGCCTGTAGAAATAGGCTAGTAAGAACTCACCGTGTATATAATCACGTATACAACAGCCATCTCGAGTTGGGTAATCATTTCCATTGACTTTCAAGTCGTGGGGAATCTTGCCAACAGCCATCTGCGCCAAGAGAGGCAACAGGTTCCCTGGTCTTCCGACCGGATCTTCGCCAATCAAGCCTGAGGGATGAGCCCCAGCTGGATTGAAGTATCTTAACGAGATCGCTTTCCATTTTGTAGGTTGGGAGTCACAGAGATCTTTGATGATCAATTCTGACATCATCTTCGTCCTTCCGTAAACTGACTCTGGTGCCAGTGGAGTCGTCTCTGGGATCGGGATCGTCGTCGGAGCTCCATAAACGGTTGCAGATGATGAATATACTAAATGATGACAATCATGACGGTTCATCACCTGTGTATTTCAGATATCAAGCGGAAAGTGTCAGTACTGTTGGCTCGCTGGACACGAAACCGCTCTCGAGCCAACGTACGTCTAACAGGTTGATGGTGGCCGAGATGTTGTTCTCATAGTACTGTATTGGTTTTTCTCCACTCTCACCGACGGCTTTGTGAGCAGCGATATGAATGACGCCCCAAACCTTTTCGGTTTCGAAGACCTTTTCGATATCCGCCTTGCAGGTAATATCGCCCTTGTAGAGCGTCACATTGGTGAAAAGTTTGTCTTCCTCTGAGGCATCGTTTGGCAGTTCACTGAGAGCAATACGGGAGACGCGCTCAATTGCCGGCGGAAACGAATTGTGAAAGCTAAAATGAGGTTTATCCAGATTCAGTGATCGGCGATCGAGGGAGATAAACACGGGTAATTTCAACAATGATTCCACTAATGCCATAACTCAAATGGATGGAAAAGAATGCTTTTTGTGACGAATTGATGACGATTGATAACGGACTTATCGATGGTTATCACTTTATATTTCCTGGTCAATAAACAGCACAATAGCACGTGGCTACCGATGTATCCTGCACCCCCAGTCTAGGATGATAATGTAGATCAAAGCAGATACACGATCAGGATCGATTCATGAAAAACGCCGAACATACACAACTGGACTTACTACTAGATTGAGAGATCATCCGGCCAAGGTCCACGGGCAATTCACAGATAAGCAATCTGGGCTTATTAGTTTGCTTCATAATCTAGACTCACCCAGGATGGTTTTCCTCGTCTCTGGCATGATGATCGCTTTGTTCGACTGTTTGGAGGTGAAGGGTTTATGTGGAAGAAGTGGTGGTGCAACGATTGTTGGTCAAGTGCCCCCTGGGCCCGCCGCCGCCCCTGCGAGCCTGGCAAGGGGGACTGCGGCGCGATGTTGTCTGCCTCTTTGGTAGCTGAAGACTGTGTCCCTAGATCGTCCAACCAAGAGCCCCCTTGGGTCTGGTCGCCATCTGGAAGCAAGTTTCCTGCTAAAACTTTCCCATCAACAGCAGAAAAAGCATCAAAAGCACTTGGGTATTTATTTGTGAATGAAGTCAAATACCTTGTTACTTGTGGTGTTCAGAAGAAAAACTTCAAGAATCAAGTATCCAAAGATGCAAATTATCTGGCTGAGATATTTTCTCGCCTTTTTGGGGAAATGCATTTCTTGCTGAAGAGTGGCTTTCTTGAAAGTAAATTCCTTGAAGATATTTTTCAAGGTGATGTTTTTTTTGGCGACTATTTGCAGAATAGATTTTGGATTGACCCCTCCAGGATTGAAAGATCTAATGAGAACTGGACATGGGGAAATGGATTTGACTGTTTTCAAGGTAAAAATATTATTGAAATTTTCAAATTGGCTTGAAAGATATCAATAAGCCACTCTTCTTTCTTATTTCAAAAAATAAATGAGTGAGAAAATCCAAGCCCTTGGGGCGAAACATGAGCTGAGGTTAAGATTTCAATACTTGACTGAAAATTTGATTGATTTGAAAAGACTAACCAAGGGAGGTCATCTTGTGGATAAAATTTCAGAAATTCTTGGAAACAAGACTTTATAGTGATCACAAATTGAAAACTACTGGACAAAACCAAAGAATTCAAATCCTTGGACCTTATAAAATGATGAAGAAATTCAGGAACCTTATTCTTTGTTTGTTCCAAATATTTTGGGCTGATTTACCTGCTCTCAATGGACCTGCACCACCAGATTTGGTTAGATATATTTGTCAAATTTTGATTTTCATTCCAATTGATTTTGGACAAGGCATCAGCACAAATAAATCAAATAAACTTAGTAGTAGTAATCATTTGGTTGACCTGATGAATCTAATCTTCAAGAAGATTATATGCACCAATTGTTTTGTGAGAGTCAATGCCATGTTTTTGAATTGACTCATTTACTCAAAACCACAATTTTTTTTCCCTTCTGATCAGTCTTTTCTTGAATTTTTCTATGTTCAAGTTCTACATTCCTTTTTTCTCTTGAACTTGAATTCATATTGCTTTTTTTTTCTAGTTTTTAACTCATGTCTCTGGCTGAGTGTGTTAAGCAAAATGATGAGTTCATAGATTCAAACCCAACACTGGTAATTGATCTCTGTATTAAAAAGGCTCTCTGAGCCTTTTCAGGTCAAGGTTTTGTTTTTTTCTGCTTGTGCAGCAGACATTTATCTGAAAGCAATATTTCAATGATCATTCCCCCACGCAGCACTAAATGGTCTCAGTGGGAAGTCACTCTGTTCAGGTCTACAATGTAAAATTCTCAACAATGTGAGATTCTCATATATCATATGATGTATGGATCAAGCCTGATACTGAGTTTTTGTTTTCACCTTTGGTTCCACAACCTTCTCCTCTTTGTTGTGACAGGGTATAAGTGAGCTGTCTGGTTAAGTGGGGCCCTGCGTCTGACCCCCAAGTGCTCTAAGATATACAACCTCCTATGTAATGTGCACTTTTCCACCATTCAAGCTAGTAGTCTCCTAGCCTCTGGTTGGGCTATTTGACTTTTCTTCTTTCTGAGTCTTCAGCCTTGAGATTATCTCCAGCTCACTCATCCTCCTCTTCTGTGCCTACTGGATTTGATTTTTTTTTTTGAAATTTAAACCAAAAAAAGAAATCCAGTATAGTATGGGCAATATGCTCAGGAATGTGCCACTAGGATTTAAAAGCAAAAATGAATCTTTATTATAATTGAATCCATTGGATATTGTATTTTGCAATGACTACCCACTGTTGCCATCAGTGTAAGTCACAATTCACAACTGCACTATAAAATGATAATCAAAAGTGTAAGTCATAGTCCAAAGCTAATTAAAAAAGTGATTATAAATCAATTCTATGCTATAATTTTACACTGCAAGAAAAGGTCAGACAACTTTGTATAGTTGACATGTGATATTACAAAGGTGGCATTGTAATATCACATGTCAACTGTGCACAGTTGACTGACCTTTTCTTGCAGTATCAGCTTCCAAAATTATTTGAACATGCAAATCATCACTTCTGATACTAGGGTTGATTAGAGCCACCCTGTTTGAGTGATAATTGGTTCTGTGTGGATAGTGAGGGATTTTTATGGTTATTGGTTGGTACTGGTATTTAATTCAATTGAGGGAATGACAGAGAAGTATTGAAGAATGGGCAGGAATAAAACCCAGAAAAGAGTCAATCATGATAATCAACTGATCATGAAAACCAACATCATTATAACTGTCCAGCAGATTAAGAGAGGAACTCCAGCAGTGGTCATTTAAATTAGACTAAATATAGAGAAAAATGTGGACTAGCACTTGGATTAATTTACAACTAAAATTAGTACAGATGTGATTGTTCATGGGGCTATTGTTGTTGGTTAGAGTTTAGTGATGCATTCGAGTGATGTTAATGTAAAGTATATGCGTAGCAGTGAAAGCTAGAATTTATATTTTCATACAATGAGTTAGAAACAGTCAAAGTGATCGTACATAAGAGAGGAAAAAAGGATTTAAGATCTCATTTGAGTGATACATATCCGTTGTTTTTTTGACTTTTTTGGTCTGGGGTATGAGATCGATCGCATAGTAAGGTTTAAGTGAGGAGGAACCTAAAGCCAAGAGGGAAAGAATTCTTTCTCCAAAAAAAAAACGAGCGAGTAAGAAACAGGGAGGCGGTTCAATTCCATGGAGAAAAGAAAGATCACACTAGATATGTATCGATGAGCAGATTTGAGCATTACTTACAGGCTTTCAAATGCCCATCAGAACAGTGCTACTACATCTACCAGGTCAACGACTCGCATGGACAGCTCGACTCCATAATGCGCCTCACACCCGCCGTTCTCGAGATGATACATGAGATTGCTCAATGAGTAGAACTCGGCCCGTTGGCATCGTTCCGAGGGGCACTTGTAGGGCCTGGAACCCCAATTCTTATGCTTCGGGCTCCAGACATGGGACATCAGCTGCTTTTTGGTCTGGAATCGCTTTGGGCATAGCCCACAGCAGTAGCGACGACGTCTATCCCGAGTGAAGTTAGGCATTGGGGGTCTGGTGGTGATCAGGGCTCGTCGAACGAATCTCCCATCGGGGTCGCAATGCAGGCTATAGTAATTGTCAACAACCTGGATATCGACCTCGTGTCAGACACTGAGGCTGTAGCCCATGTGTCTACAACCTATACTTAACCAACAAACACATGTACTGTACACCACGGACAATTGCATGTCGCTCCCGCGCGGAGCGACATCTGGGGGTTTCATTGGGGGTTTCGTGCGCAGTCACTGCGCCTACTGCCGCAGTCACGCACGCGGATTCGTCAAGGTGACGGTTACATCCGCGGCGACACGCAAATGACCGTGGTGGTAGTTTATTGGTTAAGGACTGTGTTATGACTTTGCCTCACCAACACACTTGGGTTCAAATCCCAATTATGTAATCTTATATTTTTATTATTTTATTTTTTATACTTTTATGCTTTAAGTAATTCCACGGAATTACTTAAGTATTCACCTCTGTATTAATATTCATATTTTATATACATACAATTTGAAATCTTAATCATCTCTCTATACTCTGTAATTAGAGAGATGACATCATTCTTTCTCCTTTGAGCTTGAATGACATCATTCCCTCCACTTTTGGTTTAAAACTTAATTTAAATGCATATTTTGATCATTTATGATTATATACATAAATGATCCTCTGCAGGCCTCACCGGTCTCACAGGCAGGCTGACCCCTGCCTTTGTAATACTTAAGGGGGAGGTCTTCTTCCCAAGAATCCTCCCCCCAGAGATTATTGCCATACAAACCCGTGTACCTTACTTAATATTAGTGAGTGGGGTTTTAGCAGTAAACTCTCCCTTTTCTCTTTACCTTCCATCTTTTCTACTAGCCTAGACTACAGTTAAGTCACTACTGTAGTCTAGAAGAGAGCCTCTTTTGATCTGCTCTAAGCTCGGCGTGGTGATGCTCATTCCACCATCGTCCCCTCTAACCCAGGGAGCTAACCCCTCTGCTTTCTAGCATCGAGGTGAGGTTTATTTCCACAGGCCACCTCTGTGGCTATAGTGTGACCCTATACCCCTTCACGTCCTGGTCACATAAGAGACCGGAGCTGACAATTGG